ATACTCTCCTTAGCAACTTTGTTGCGAGAGTATAAAAATAGCGGAATAGCTACAGTGTTAAAAAAAATTTCAATTGTAACGAAATAAAGTTATGATGCCAGTCCGAAATTCCACGTATGTGAATCATGAATAACATAAAAACGATGGGTCAATGGAAACTTTTGGCCTCCCCGCTCTCAGATTAAGATGGTTTAAGGATGATAAACAGGAAGGAGAAAGTGTGTTGACATCTAACCAATGGGTAAGGACTAATCATACATTTATTCATATTTTACTGAATTTTCATCGACATGAATATCATTCTATCTGACCTTGCTTAACTTTTGTAGGGCTATCGTTTTGACTTTTTTTAAAGAAAATAATGTCACTGGAAATTAAGCCGAAAGACAACTAATAAATTTTGATTACATATCAGCACTAACCTTCAACCATACTTAGCGTATCTCCTGAAGTTTTCTCGTCGGTATCCAGTTCAGTAGAATTTTGAAGTGGTACTATTGTCGACGATATCGATACATCTGTCCCGCTTTCCAAGGCAAAATATTTATATTTAACACTGCGTGGTTGCAACCGCTGATTAATTTTTTTACCGCGTTCAACTTCAGAAACATTAACAAATTCCATTGGCATTGATTTTTGTTGCACGCGTTCATATTCACTATTAAATATATCGCTTTTACCTCGTTGAGGGATAACTAAGTTTTTGCCATTGCTACTGCTAAAAACTGTGAATAAAAGCACTACTACTATCAGCTCAGTTGCACGTGCGCATTTTTGATTGTACATATTCACAGTTTATCAACGACTTTCATTTATTATACTTCTGCTTTTTGTTGTAGAAATGTTTATTGCTATCTATTTTTAATGTAAAAATAAGATGGTTCGAGCACCTGCAATGTTAAACCTTTCACATTTCGGCGATAATATCGAGTCAGATTGAATATCTTTCAAAATTAATTATTGATGGTGATAGCCGACAGTTTATCATACATCGAAATCTGAAAAGAAATTAATAAATATGAGGAAATAGTATTATTCACTAAAGAACACTTTAAACCACATAATTTTGAAGATAGATTTTCAACTATTTTTTTTTTTTTAATATCACACATTTTGACCAATCCAAACGGTTTAAAGACCAGAGAGACCTAACTTTTGACATTGCTGAGGTGTATTCAAGAAAATATTTGCAAGCTATTTTACAAATTTATAACTCATACATTGCGGGACATATTCAGCATTAGGTTTGTTAAAATAACGAAAATAATTTTGTTTAGTATATGGGGTTTGTAAATAATTTTTGTTACAATTGACCGATATATGCATTTCGATGTACTCATATGGCATAAAGACAACCGGAAGTTTGAAAATCCAATATAAGAGATAAGGGAATATTGAACCGTTTTTATTTATTTACATTATGACAAAAAAAACGACAATTGTAAATAAATTCCCCCGGTAAACGATATTTCTAAAAAAGTATTTTGCTAAGTTGGTAGAACTACCCTTAATTACTCTACCAAATATCAGAGCGTTCTGCCAACTAGTTTGTTTACAACAGCTGTTTAATACATATACCGATATGTGAGTAGTGCGTTACGATTTTTTTAAAAAGTCTTATTAAAAAAGTGATGGATATGGTTCATGAAAATGGTCAGGGAAGTGTTAGAAAGATGGCAAGAGAGCTGGACATCTCTCCGGAGTCCGTTCGAATGATTTTGGTGGATATTTTGGGAATTAAACGTTTATGCTCGGCTCGTTCCGATAAAGCTGAATTGTTTTCAAAAAGAGTACTATTGTGACCAAATTCAAAGCAAAAAACGCAATGAATACCATCGATCACCAACCGTGTTCACCAAATTCGGCTCCGTGTGATTTTTTCTTGTTTTCCAAACTGAAATTGTCGCTCCGTGAAGCGCGCTTTCAGTCGATCGATGAAATCGGTGGAGCAGATCCCGAGATAAAGGTTTCCACTTAAATGTTAGTTATGTATGTACATATATACCTTTATGTAGTACTTGGTTACGGTGTTTATTTAATGGCATATTATGGGAGTGACAGTGGTCCGATTAAACTCCTCCACGTACTTGTCTTTCCTTTTTTTGTCAAGGAATAGCCTGCACAGAGGGAGGGATGGACGGACAGACAGTCACCCGGATCTATTTATCTCGATAACTTTTAGGTGGCAACGTGTTGCAATGAATAGTATAAGAATAGATATCTGCGATTTTTTTACATTTTTCTATATCAAGATTTGATATTTTACTTAAATGACCGAAATAGCTACACATGGTGAAAAATTTTTAAATTCAAGTTCGTAATTAGGACACCTAAAATACCCGACGGATCTCTTGGATGTGTTGTGTAGTGCTATTTATTTACACATCGCTTTTATCTTCAGATCCGTGTTTATAACCAATTATTTAAAAAAAATTTAGAATGTCAAGTTTAATATAAAAATGTAGCTTCTTCACAAATTAATTTGTTTTAATACAGAAAAATAAATTATACAACAAGAGAATATAATTATTCATGCATATATATATAAGTTGGAAGCTTTTAATCGTTGAATTTAATAGTGGCCAACAATTATAGTTATTGCTTAAACCAACGCTTTACCCCGCGTTGATTGGAATGTCGTAAGAGAGCTGCAACCCTAACTTGTTTCTTGTATCTAAAAGCGAATTTATATGCTGCAAGAGAGTTGGTGGCATATACTTACATACATATGTATTTATGTACTTAGCTTATATACAATAATAATTTCGCATTTTAGTTTTTTTCATATGTATATATGTTATTATTTAATTCACACACACGTGTGCAAAGTATTTGAAATATTTGACAAACTTTTAATGCACATACATTTATGGGTGTACTAGATATGTAACATGTTTTTCATATTCCCAATTCGATGCACACTTTACATTATACATACATACATATATCTGAATGTATTAGTATTTTCAATTCTTTTTGTTTGAGGTTTCGGTGATGTATTTTGTAAGCCCACGTGTGTATGTAAGTGCATAATAAGCAAAAGCTTAGCTTAATATACATAGTTTGAAACGAAAACTGAAATTCACAAACACTAACACACTTGAACACGTTACTGTATATGTATATTTAGTACGTAGATGTAATCTAATTCATTTAAATGAAACTTGTGCTAGGTCCCACCTGTTGAATAACAAAGCAAAATTAGCGTTGTAGCAAAATTAGCTTTCCAAAAACTTTTTCACTCTTTTGCTAAAACAAATTATTTAATTTTTAAGTTTTCTTTGCTCTGCTCTAGCCAGCAAAATTGCACTTGCTACTTCCTTTTGCTGAACGTTATCATTATATTTTACATTTTATTTTCAGTGTACCAACTGGAAAATCACCATGTTTATTCATAATTTCTCCGTATTATCTGACTTCAACCTGGAGTTGCTTCGCGTTAACTGAACTAAAAGTTAAAGCTTCGTTTGGCTGAGAAACGAAAAACCTAGTTATAACAAAATGGCGTCATTAAGAGCTATGTATTTTTTTCGATAAAGCTTTTGCTTTTAATAACTAGTAAAACAAATGTTAAATGTATGAACATGCTTTGGCAAGCTATCTTCGAATGCTGCATAATCTGCTCTATTACAAAAATGTACAGCACTTTGGTGTTTTATTAATATGAACATCAAATAACGATTCAAGTTGTGGTCTATGTGCATATTTAAATTTAAAATTTATAACTTAAAATGTATAAGTTCAAAGTACTTAAGTTATTTAAACATGTTTACAACAACAATAGTAATAATATTTATGAATTATCTATTATGCAAGGCTAACATCGTACTACTAACTACTTTTTGAATTTTGGAGTTTGAATTGATAAAATATAATATGTATCTCTGAATTAAATACATATACATAATTTTTTATTTATATTGTTGCTTTCCACTATTTTATTATTATCCTTTGCTCAATAAACATATCTAAAATGTTGATTTTTTATCTATTAAATTGTTATTTTATAATTTAAGAGAGAAGAGAGAAGACATGAACTTTCTTTATATTTCTATGTTCTCTGGTGCTTCGGACTGGGCGGCCATCTAGCGACAAACGCTGCATCTCGAATAAAATATTTCCATAAAAAAATAAGAAATATACTTTTTTCTAGAAATATATTTCATGAAAAAAAAGATTTCAGATTTAAAGATTTCAATAATTGTAACACATTTTTTATATACCAATTAAATAAATAAATTTAATATGAGCACTGATATTTTGATTTATCCTTGAATAAGTTTATTAAATTTAAGACTTCGCTCATTCGCCAATCCTTTGGTAGAATTTTTCTGCAAAGTAACTATATTAAACCATATATTAATTATTTAGAAAAATATATTCAATTATTTTGAAAATGTACTTGCTTATTAATTAGTACTTTATTTTTATAATTTGACACAACCATCTTAATACTCGACTAATTTTAAAATAACCGAAATATCCGTCGCCATATAAATGTACATATGTAAATGAACTGTGTCGCCTCTTCGAAATTTTGATAGAAATAAAAACTCATCTATACATTGCTGCAGTGATAGTACATTCCATACAATAGTTAGCATACAAATTTGTATTCAAAAGGAATATAGAGTCTCCACACACAATAGTGGAAATAACGTAATATCTCGACGGGAAATATATCATTTCTAGAAACATATTGCTTATGGTTAGTAATATATATCTTGATATCCCTTGACAGTTGTGTTGGGCAACTCTTATCTTTTTACGGTTTGCAAAGCAACAGTAACAATTTTCATTAGAGAAAGTAAATCGTTCATTTTAGCATACCCTTTGTTTTCTGCGCTTCGTGGTTTCAGTATGAACTGTCACGGAAAGCGAGGAAAGTTTTATATGAATGGACCTTTAGTGTCAAAAGTCGACGTGAAAACATGCAATGATTTTTTTCGCTTATCTTGTTGTTTTTGTTTTGTTGTTAGACTTTAGGGACGCGTTATCACGTTTATGACCTTGGTGTCCGAAGTCTAAAAAAAGTTTCATTTCATTTTAAAATGTATGGTGGAGAATTTTTTCCATTCGCCAAAGAACATTTCAATTGGTCTTCGACAAAATTATGTAGTATTTATAACCGGACGAATCGAAAATTGCTATGTAAAGCGGTAAGGAATCGCGTCAATATGTAAGACGTCCACCAAATACGTACCAGCCGATATACTATATGTACAAAACATAAGAGGTAAAACTTAGACATGAGTATCATGGTGTGGGTATGCCTTTTTTGGCAAGTTGTAGGAGCCATTTATCGGATCAAAGAAAACATGAATGTTGACACCCCTATGCCGAAGTACGTCAGAACATTATGTTGTCGTATGTCAGTGAAAAAATGCAGCTTGTTTGGAAGTTCCAACAGGAGAATAATCCCAAACACAAAACTAAAGTTGCTAAACGTGAATGCCAACGTAATGGAAAAGTAGCCACAGTTCAATTGACGTCTTCTACATCACAATGCAACTATGGAGGTGTGTGAACAAACGAGTATATTTTCAAAGAAAGATACCAAACACTTATTGACTCAATACGCAACTAAATACTAAATTCAAAAAAATACATTATCCTGTTTAAAAACAAAAAATAAGAAAAATACACATTTACTCACATTTTGTTGGAATTTTGCGTATAATTTGTTATACTACTAAGTTTTTGACCGATGAAATTTTTAGTAAATTTTTAACTTTATTTATAATTTATGGTAATGCGTTTAACAATGAGAATTTTTTGTTAGACATTATATATATTGTTAGGGATTTTATGGCGCGTGGATTTGTAGAAGTTTCCGCAAGTGAGGAACGTTCACTGAGCGGCTTGACTTGTGCCACTTACTACAGTGGCCAAATAAAGGAGCACAAATTCGGTGTGAGATTCATGGAGGGAGAGACTGACTAGAGGCACTCATCCCGGTGGATGAACGTATAGTCATAATCCGCATCAAAGCGATGGTTTTTCAACATATTGCTGATTGCGCCCATAACCCGATGGTCGAGACGCTGCAATCACAACAGGCAGCCTTACATCGACAATGTATAATTTTGTAGAATTGCGTACAATTGCTGGCTTACGCTGATGATATTAACACCATTGACCTCAACATCCTTGCCATAGTGATCGCATCCTTCCCACGTCACTGTTGACAGTCCTAACTTCGAAGTCGTAGATAATTTCGTCTATATTTGGAACTAGTATTAACACCAAAAATAATGTCAGCCAACATGTGCTACTTCGGACTGAATAGGCAATTGAGAAGTAAAGTCCTCTCTTGACCAAATTCTATAAGTTACTCATTATTCCCGTCCTAATATTTGGTGCAGAGACGTGGACGATGACAACATCTGATGAGTCGATGTTACAAGTTTTCCAGAGAAAGGTTCTGTGAAAGATTTATGGTCCTTTGCGCATTGGCAACGTCGAATATCGCATTCGATGGAACGATCTGTATGAGTTATATGCACCACGACATTGGCTGGATAAACTAGGTGTAGAACAACTTAGCTACACTTGGAATTTCCAATTGACGCCAAACAGCGAAAAGAAAGAACGACTTGCGCACTGTTGTAAACTCAGCTATAACCGCGTAAGCGGTGTCTACCCAATGAGGAAGAAGAGGAGATTTTATGGTAGACAATTATTTTTATACTCTCGCAACAAAGTTGCTAAAGAGAGTATTATTGTTTTGTTCACATAACGGTTGTTTGTAAGTCCTAAAACTAAAAGAGTCAGATATAGGGTTATATATACCAAAGTGATCAG